GTGGCTTGATACTTCAGAACCTGTGGTGATCATAGAAAGGTTTCTTAACGATCCTTGCTTTTCGCTGCAAATAATTTTGAAAAGCAAACTAAATGATCGACATAGCCCTCATTCGCATACACAGTGCGTGACACATTCCCATTTGTATAGTCACACGCTCAGGCAAGCGAAATTCGATACTCAAGAATACACCCCAATTGACTGATAGTTTCCTTATTCGCAAACATAAAAAAACGCGTTCAATGGCTTGGCACTTCAGAACCTGTGATTACCATAGAAAGGTTTCTTAACGATCCTGGTTTTTCGCTGCAAATCGTTTTGAAAAACAAGCTAAATGATCGACAAATCCCTCATTCGCATACACAGTGCGTGACACATTGACCTCAACTTCAGGCAGACTCGCTCTCGATTGCGAAAACCGCCTGTCGTCACTGGCCAAAAGCCTTCTTGTGAGAAAAATCACTCATAAAAATATTTTCTAGGAGGGCGACCTCTTCTAAGGATCGAGTATCTAACAGATGATATTCTCTTATACTCAGCCTCTATGAAAATATACTGCGATATCTCGAATATCGTGCCAACTGAAACATGAGGCGGCCTGTGTGCAGCACATTTAATTGTAGAATATCAAAAACGAGGGATTGAGTAGAGTCTCTCGTGAAAACCAGATTGATTTGCAAATGAGTGTTTTTCTCGAAAAAAAGTCCATCCATGTTGCCCTTGAACCGATATCTAAGATATAGTTGTCGATCTCCTGGAAATTCGGGTGAGACATTACCTATTTGTACACTTTAATGCTTACTCATTAAGTGGGATTTCCATTATTCTTGCTCGTTAGTAGCGCCCGACGAAACCACGCACTGAGTCACAACGTAATTTGACAACTGAAGCTGTATGAGAATGACTCAGAGGCGCCCTCGCTTTATCCTATTCTTCAACAGAATATACTAATAACTATATAACTATATTGTACTAACTATACGATACTATATAACTATACTAACTAACCAACTGTATAACTAACTATATACTAACTGGTTTGGGTTACATCAGTAGTCTTCCTAACGGTAGACTGACTAAACTCTAGTCCCAAAACAGCAAATTATTCAGTGAGCTACCGGATTCTTCAACAGCCCACTTAACACAAAAATCGATGTCCCAAATAAAATATTAGGGAATCTCTGGCTCGAAATATGAACCGGATATTAATCGGAGACTTACGTTAGTGGGCGTTTCATTTGTTTTCAGCAGCCGATGAGTAGTATGTTACTAGGGAAAATACCTAATTTTTGTCTGACTTGAGTATTCTCCATCTTTTCTGCCCAGTTGAGATTAGAATGCCTTAGTTTGTTTCTACACTAAGAAAGTAGGCCACAGAATACGTCTTAAACGTGCATGTTGAGGGATCTGTTTAGGCACTTAATGTCAGTGAACTTTGACGCCCAAAGTTCGACCCCCAGTGCGTCTTTTGCATGCAACTTGCTGGATGCTGGAGTTAATTGACCAGCAGGCTTAATCACCTGTGCTTTGAAAGCTTAGACTGCTAACTGATAAGGTCCGCCTCCATGTCTGTTTGGTTATCTGAGTGTCGTGAGTACTGTTCACTTGTATCAAACTCACTGAAAATCGAGGATTATAGTACAAGAACAAGCCATTCAGGCTTACCATTTTGCTTCTTGAATAACACATCCAAACGAGGATTGCAAATAAACGGAGAAAGACTGGCAGAAATATATTCTCGTTTTGTTTAAATTTCCCCCACCCACTAAGTGCAAAAGATTTAAATTTCAGGCGCAAGGCTCATGGGCTAGCGAGTGTTCGCTATACGCTGAGCAGATGTCATTCAGTCATCCAGTAAACGGTGAAAGAACAGAAGACGAAGGACACATATCAGACGCCGTTGAACTTGACACTTTACTGGCCTCGCCTGCTCAAACTGACGAGCAAATCGATAACCATAATACGAAGGTCTTCGCTGGAAGCGCAGCTTCGATCACCGAGAATTTGGAGACAGCTGTTGTCGAGACTCACGACGAAACAATGTACGACAGTACTGACCACATGGAGAAGAGCCCTGTTTATTCCGGTTTTGAGCTACGAAATTGTGATGGTCGGAGTCTATCGAAAATTAGCATGAAAGAACTGCACGCCGAACTGTGCACACTACTGACAAATAGAGCAGCTTTGCCGGTATGGACGAGTTGGCTTGATCGGACAGTGTCTCGAACTCTCGCGGATCAGGTAACTGGCACAAAGCGAGCGAGTGCTGCCAGACATCTAATGCTCGTATGGACCTATTACAGGTAAGTACCTGAGAGTTTTACGAGAACCTCACTCTGACTAGCGAACCTGATAAAAACCCTTCTCTCGCTCAGGCCTTTAGACTACTCGTGAACGGATTGGTCAATAATCGTTCGCCAAGTATGAAAACTATTCAGTCGGCCATAGAGTAACTTTTATTGACCGGAAGGTTTGCCACCTATCTCGCACTCCTGTCATTTTAGGTGAGCATGTTGGCTAAATCTAATCCTGCACTG